ATCAATTTCACAGAAAATCCTTCGGGTAAGATTTACATGAATGTTTACCTAGAAGGATTACCATATCCGGTGTTGAAAAAAATGAGCAATATAATCGATTGGACGCTGCTTAGCAATGGAGCAGGATGTGTGAAAAATATAAACACATTTATTCACAACCAATGTGACATCGTAGACATCGAAATGTCAAATCTTGAATAGATATGGAAAATGTCACTAGTTGCCGTAATTTAGCAGTACTTAGCATTTGGAGTCGTTAACAAAAGCCTTATTTCAGCTAAACACCGAGTGAAAGTCACTGAGTCATCAGGATGTTGGTCGTCTGTGGGCAAACTAAGCGGCGAACAGGAGTTATCGTTGGGAGACGGATGCCTCTGGGATTTATTGCTGCGCACGAAATTGGTCATAGTCTTGGATTTATACACACCCACTCGCGCGTCGATCGTGACAACTTTGTCAAAGTTAACTATGACGTTATGCAGGTAAAAATTAGACAACCTTTATTAATATGCGTACATTTGAAGAAGGTACTCATGATTATTTCCGCTTTCAGACTGAAATTTGCACTGCGCTATAACAGAATTGGCTCTTTGCTCGCTAGTTGTAGAACGCATGAAAGAAATCCCCTCTGCGCTCTAGATAGGTCATCAGACCGTTACCGCGGTATAAAACTGGAAGCTCTTGTGTCGTACGGCATCTGCCAGTAAGTCCACTAGAGCCTTACGCCATGTCGATGACATTGGCAGTATCCGTCATAATTATCCTCATGCGTTCGAGACTGCATTCTGGTCATAGTTCACAGCTTAGTCAAAAGTGATTTAGTACAGAAGTTTACAAAAATGATTCTCTTTCATCGTCTCGGTGGTTTCCTGTTTGGCTTTCATTGCTTGAGCCTTGTAGAGTTCTGCAATATCACTCACTCAAGGAAAGTCGTGATCGTCGGAGCAGACTAATGCTACTGTTCGCAAGGTTACCTCTACAGTACTTATCATGACTAGAGGTGCACCCTCGAAATTGCTGTAATCGAACTTTTTAAATTTTATATCGAAAATGCATGCTGGCTTCAGAATTTTGCATGCGGAAGAACCTTTCCCGGTCTGCTTTCATATTCATCGGAGAGAGAAATACTGCTGATAAGCGCTTATGTAATCTCGAAGCACTTCTGAGATTCTTTCACATTCGCGCCCGCAGTGGTCTAAGAAAGATGTGACGAACTAGACATTTGAACATCTTTGTCAAAGTCGAGAGGAGCTCTTGTATTGAGCAGGAGCAATAAATTAGATAGAAGGCGGGCAGTATATTTGGTATGAGGACCACCGCAGTCCTTATAAAAAATACACCTCAAACTGTCGTTCACGTATTGTCGTAGTGTCGTGTCGTTCCTTTGTTTTATAAGGCTCAGAAAAATGCTAATTTGCTGATACTAGAAAGATTTTAAAGAGTACCTCCCCCACCTCTCCCCTATTCCCTCCTCACCATAGCTCTATTTTCAGGTATTCCCAGTTATGATTTGACTGGCCTTATATAAAGCAGAAAAGGGTGAGATCACGTTCTCGTCTTCAAATAATTGGTCAGAGACCATTTGTGATTACGGTGGAATCTCAATAAGGCAATAGTCGCTAGGGTTTCTAGCAAAACTTACATTTTTCCGATCACAAAGGGACACTTGTGTTTTCTGGGTCATGGGGGTCGTATTGAAGAAATGTGGTCTGGGAGTGACACTACGTGTAGGTAGCACTGCTCATCATTATGAAAAGAAACACAGGCATTACACTATGAAATAATGACCAACTATCTAATAACTATGAGAAAAAATATGAAGATGACAATGCTTTCAAAAGGGATTTTCAGGCAGGTCAGAGCGGAGATTTCATGAAATATACACAGGAGCAGAACGATAACTTTGGACTGGCGTACGACTACGGATCCATCATGCACTACGCCGCAGCGGAGTAAGCTTTCTTGTATAATATTCGTACGAATCGAGTTTAGAGCTTAAGCAAAAGCGCTAAAAAGTATTCGACCAAATGCCTTTTTGGCCGCAACTTTTTTGCCATTTCCAATTTCTTCATCGTTACCTGTTTTATGGCTTTTTTGTGCAGTGAAAAAGACTCGTTCCTTTAATGGGCTGTGATAGATGGGATGTAGAGCGGATTCTTCGCTACAGCTTTCGGAACTTTGCTCTAAATTTACCCACCAAGATCGAGCCTTTCAAAGTTCGCAATGCTGAAACTGCACTGATGGAAGTTTTTGGAGACAGTGGCAGATCTCGGAATGCCACCTCATTTGATAGACATTTTAGCTATTGGCTACCACTTTTTCGAACATCAGGATAGTTAAGTAAAGAGAAATATTATATTTCAAAAGCTGTGGTGAAGCTGAACGAATTTCGTTTAAATCATCACATCCAGAACTTCCAGTACTTAGAACAACACAAAAAAACACTTTTTATTGTAAGAGATGAGTAGACCCATAATTTCATTCCAATTTAAAATATTGAGTATGAGCCGAGATACGTGTATTTGAATTTCAGTGCCAAAAATGACCGAACCAAATAAGAGACATAATAGAATAATGGCTAATCTGTTCGTTACATCTCAAGAGTTTGAAGATGGGTTGATCATTTGATGTCTAATGAAAGGCAACTTACCTACGCCTTGTTGCGCTGCACACGCCACAGGCAGTCATGGACAGATTATACATTGCGATGCAAAATCATAGGACATCCCCCCACAAAAAATATGAATATCTCGGTTTCCGGAAATTGTCATTCATAGCAACCTGTAAAATCAGAACCGCCCTTATGGAAAGCCTGTACCCATTATGAGGTTATCTGTTTAGTTTTCGGTATTTTTAAACAATTTTTTTTTGATTTTGGGGCCGGTGCAAAATCATAGGACACTCTTCAGATTTTCCCTTACTGTTGGAATTTTTAATCCAACAGTAAGGGAAAGTCAAGTCCAACAGTATTAAGCAATGATAGCAGCACTTATCTGGTGTATTAAACTCTACTAGAGTTACTTCGAGTTACTCTCCTCTCCTCCGGTACTGAAAGCCAGACGTGCTTTTACACGCGCCTGATGACTCTACCACGACCATCGAAACCATTTTGGGAAGTCCAATGGAAAACAGTAGCTTGGTATTCCAAACTTTACTATAAATAGAAAAAAAGGAGCACCAGGGCAAACAACGGAACCTTCCCAAGAGGATTGGCGCATAACCTCGAAGACTACATTAAACTTCATTCAATGTTATGAGTGTTTTGTTCCATTCAGACCACTTTTCCTTGGTATAGTAGAGAAATATAGGCTAGGTTTCGACGAGATTTCGCCAACGAAGTTTTCGTGGTAGTTTCCCAGAAGACGAGTGAATGCGTAACCTCAACCTGAGATTACGCATTCACGGCATTGAAGGAAACGGCAAGTGTTGATTCCCTGCGAGTGCAACAACATATACTGTATTGCGATGACCTGATCAACCAATTGATCTTTACTGGTCACACTGTGTGAAGGTTTTAGTTGATTTTTTCTTCAAACTTACCCTCAGGGTAGTAGTCTGGGTGCGCCAAAATCAGTATGATACATGGAAACCCAGGCAGCAGTGAGCATGAAGTGTGAGACACTGAAAAATGTAGGGTGAGGAAACAAAAAAACTGCGAAGGAGATCTGATATAATCCAATGCTCTACAACTGCTTACTCTATCAATTAGCTGGAGCGTAGGGTTCGTAGCAGTCACTATGTATAACTAAACTAAGTAACGAATAGCGAAAAGCGAGTAGCAGAAAGAAAGGCCTGACAAATATCAAGCATCCTTAGTATCCGTATTGAGAAATTGTAAGGCAACTCAGGACACGAAGAAGAAATAAATCATTCCAGCTAAGGCACTTCAGAATTTACGTTAACTGAAATGTGATGAACTGCGGAATATTTACAGCGAAATTACTTTAATTCCTTGAACTTCCCATCAAACGCAAATGGGCTGGCTTAGTGAACTAGGTCTGCCTTCAGAACATATTAATATCTGAACTTATCTGATCCAACAGGAAAAGGTTACTGCCGAAATATGGTGTCGGATGAGTATTATCTTTTAGCAATAGGAATGACAACTTAGGAGCTTTTAATTATATCTTACATCTTATAGTTATTCGACCGATGGATCGCCGGTACTGGTGCCGCATGACTATTATTATATAATGACTATGGGATCCCCGTTCATTTCGTTCAACGACTACTACCAGATGAACATTCTCTACGGTTGCAATGGTTTGTCGTACTACTCTAGTGAGAAGCATTCCAAAAACTGCCAACCTACAGTCAGATGATTCCGCTCGTTTTTCTCACAATTATTTGGATTCTGTTGTCGTACTTTTCCTTTGCCAATCAGAAACCTGCACATTGCGATCACATACACTCACTCGTTCGCATGTAATTTGGGACGCTTTCTGTGCTAGTTCGTACATTGCGGATGTACCTTGACAGTGCGAGCACGAGTCGTTTTTATCCCACGATGATTTATAAAAGCCTACGATATATTTCGCACCACACACTTCCAAACCGACTTTTAACTGTATATTGCAGAACGGTGCAATTCACAAACATCGGCCAGGTGCGAGAATGGCGGATTTCCTCATCCCCGAAACTGCTCGAAATGCGTATGTCCTAGTGGTTACGGAGGAGATTTATGCAACGAAAGAGTGAGCAGTTAATTGAGTTCAAAGGAATCGTGTTCGAAAACCGCTTGACTCTCCCCCATGAGTCGATGACTCAAGATCTATCTTCTACGGTGAAAACGTAGAGAACAAAAGGCTTTCATTTTAAACCAGTTTTGCTCCGCCCGCTATCGCGCACATCACACGGCAAGCTTTAGCAAAACTGGAGGACACATGGAATATCAGCATGCCTATTTACATAAGTGAGGAGCTAAGGCTTATCATTTATTTACATTCACCATTATTTAGAACCCCGAAAGGATTAGCGGTTTTGGGCTTTCTTGATATTGATAGAAATGAAAGTTATCATTTGCTGAAGACTTGATTGAGTTTATGCAATCGACTGCTATTAAGTAAGCTGGTCATATCGATACAATGTGCACGTACCACTACAAATAGAATTTGTAAGTAGGGACGCTCTAGTGTCAACGCAAGCTGGGTAACGGAATCGACGACTTTTCGTTCTGACGCGCCTTATCAGCCTTTATCAGTTGTAACCACTTTCTGTCACCAACCGGCAATGTCCCCGTCTATTGCTTTCGGTCATGTACCACCAATATCTCGGGACCACCCCACATAACACTTGTAAGTATAGACGCTCTAGTACCAATATGAACGACAAAACGAAATTGGCGATGCTCGCTTTCTAGCCCCTCTTATCAGCTATTATCAGTCGTTATCAGTTCCTATCACATACCACTTGTGTCCCCATCCCACCCCCTATAACATATGTAAGAACCACTGCGCTATCGTTACTGTGACTCGAGCTATGAATTTCGTGACAAACAGACGTACACACACATACACACGCACAGACATACTTAGCGAATTATATATAGTAGGATCGCGAGAAGTTCATATAATTGAAGAAAATCATATCGTTGCTTAGAATTCCTACCGTAGAACTGTCATGAGGGCTGGTTTCTCAAATGCGGCCAAAAAAATCCTTTTGGTCTTATCATCTACCAGTACAACATCTCACTTGTCCACTGCATCTTGAGCTGTCGCTTTTTGCCAGTACTTTCCGTGGCTGGATGGTTGAACTCAACTTTATCCTACTTATGTGCAGAGGGGGGGGCAGCATTAATTAATTGTATTCGTGTGAGGGAGGAAGCGATCATTGTCCGTGAATGAGTGGTGATCAATCTTTCGAAGAAAGTGTCGTTTTTAGCCATCAGGATGCGGCCAAACTCTTCAAGCTTCTTCGAACTGGACGACCCTCTCGGATATGCTAGATTTCCAAGGCGGTGGCGACTATACGGAATGTTACTACTGGATTGAAGTATGTCCCATGCCTCGGTGAAACGCTTTTGAACTTGCTATGATTTATGTGTAGCTTGAATAGAATAGCATCTAATGGTCAATCGTTCTTTAATCGTTTAGTTTGTTACTGCTCCGGAACCATGCCAATAAGCAGTAGAAAAGCTTATTTCATCACGTCACAGAAATAATCCTGAAATTTTTAGTCTCCAAGTGGAACCACAATCGAAGTGAAATTAGCGGATTTCCCATATGGTTATGTTGGTACAGGATGCAATGTTGCTGGTTTCGAGCTCAAAACCAACAAAAACCAAACTCTAACTGGCTACAGGTACAGTTGTTGTGTAAGGGTTTCAAGTTTGTCTTCATAGAATACAACCTGTGTTGAACGATTCAAATTTTTCTGAGACGCAACAGTTTGTGCAAGCGCAAGGAAAGAACATGGTGACCAGAGAGCGATGAGCTATTTCTCTTCCTTGCCTCTAGTTTTACTCTTCATTCTAAGATTTCAATTGATTTCTATTTTGCCCTTGAGCTCCATTGCAGGAGTTTCAAACAACTGCGATGAATTCAAAATAAATTGAAGGTTCTGCACTCCTGACGGTATTGGACATGTGTTTCAATCTTACACAAATCGTGTGCCAGTGATCACGTACAGCAGCGTTCTTTATAGTTTCATAACCACCGACCTCGAATATCGATACGGTACTAGTTACCTGTCTCAGATTGAAATTAATTTAAATAAACACGATAATTTAGTTCCTGCACGTCCAGCTGCCTGAATGGTTTCTGCATATGGTCACAGGCTATCAAAACGATATAGTGTTGAAGTGATTTTTCTTTTGCTACACTCCGCCTGTTTAATAAAGTTTTTCATTGGTGTAAATTCATTTCTTCGTTGGACTCCACATTTTTTGAGTAAACCACATACAATGGGTGGCATTTTCGACCACGAAGTCATTAGGGGTGTTCTCACGCGATCTTCATCTACTTTTGAAAGCTCTCCTCTCAGTGGATGAGATTCCAGGGAGCGATAACTGCACATTTGTCGATTTACAGGGTGGGCCAAAACTATGGTACCCAGATATTGAAAACAAGTATTAGCCTAATAAAACAAACCAATTTCAAAAAAATGTTGGCCAGGTATCACAAAACATAGTGAGGTTGGATTGGAAATCTGTTACCTTCCTCAGTTCAGGGTCAAGCGTCATGTTGCCTCTCGAGCGGTCCACTTGCGTACCCCTCTTGTTGCTGTCTATGCGTTCATATAAAAGGATAACCGCGGTGGCTGGTCGCCAGCGTAACGCACAGTACAATCACATAAGAACGGAAGCTAATTACGGGCGGCCTTCCAATAAACAACATAGATACATAAAAAGTTACATGTATGAAAAGCGGATTGGAAAAGGCGCGAAGAAAGCAAGCAAAACCCAAATTTCCGTAAGACGCGCTTGCGTTGCAGCTTTAGTCAAGGAGCGCTCCAGATTTCGTGCAGGCGGGGGGGGGGGGGGGAGGGGGAACAGGGCGCACTAAAAAATATTTCAATGAGGCTTTAGTTTCGCAAAGTCGTGCATTTTTACGTGTGTGACGTTTGTTCCCAGAAAACAACTAACCAGGAAAGGCATTCAACTTCCTATGGAACTTTGAGGTGCGACCCAGATATATCGATAGAGCTTCAAACGCTGCTCACAAATCGGCTTTCGGCCGGCTACATATCAGGCGACGCAATGAAAGAATCGGGTTAAAGCGCGCGATTTCGGAGAGTAGAGACAAATCGATCGATAGAATAGGATGGAGTAGAAGTGTGAGATGTGAATGCAATAAAGCAGAAGGCCAGAAAGAGTTTCTAGTGAAGGCACTCCAAGAACCAAGTGGAAGCATCCCCGTCGCCAGCATTTGTGAAAGACGTCCGTGGGCATTTGAACGCGTAGCAGCCCTTTCGATTTTTCGAATTTTTACCAAAACAAAAGCAATATTTCTGTTCTTTTCATTCTTATCGTGGATAATGAGTCTCAAGCCAGTGATTTATGGCTGAAATAGAATCATGATTTTTCCGTGAAGGATTCCTTTATAATCAAAGCGATGTTGCGGAAAGAAGGAAGACGTTCATGTGTCCGACTAGGTCGTGTCATCAAAACTTTGTAGTGGCTAAAACCTAAGTCTGCGCGTTGTTCAGGATCAGTTCAGGATTGGGCTTGCCACGAAGCTATCAAAGGCAGGGTGAATATCGGTCGAGGAAATCCTCGACAGGGGGGTCGTACCTGTCGGGCTGGGTCATGGGGGGTCGTACTCTTGGGGGTCAGTAACAGCAGTGGTATCGTGGTGCAGATAGGTAAGAGGGTATAGCGCAGCAGAAAATGAAAATATCTGAAAAACATGATATTAAATTTTCTTTGCAGGTTCAGTCGCTCCATTCCTCCACCTTCATGAGAAGGGCGTATTTGAAGGCAGTACAAAGAATGAAAGTGCAAAGAAGACTGCCACATGTGCGCACGCGCTGCAAAGGCACCTCCTCTGCCTATCGCTCGCTCCTTCTCCCTTAATACCTCGCTGAGAATGACACTGTTGTTAGGGACCCTGTCGCAAAAACGACAACCGTGAAGGAAAAGCCCTGGGCAAATGAAGTTGTTCTTCAGGTTGTAGGAGTTACGAAATGCGTTTACTACAATGCAGCTTCTGTCAACTGGTCATGATCATATGACACCTTCGAATCGATTCTGCAACTTCGAGTGAGGTCGGATGCATGGCCTATACTCAGACAAATTCGGTGATGACGATTGCCCCTTTTCCTATTG